TTTGCAGGGCAGAGGGACCTGAGCACTAATGCCTCACTGCTGCCCACACTGGGGGTACCCCACAGCCCCAAGCAGAATCAGACCTCAGCTTGTGCTGTATTTACTGAAGATAATCTGTGCTAGCTGCACTGAGGAGCCTCAACTCCAGAGATGCTGGAGACCAAACTGCCTCCCAATAAGCAATTCAAACTTGGAGGTCTTTTCCAACCCTAACAATTCTATAAGAAACCAGCCTGAGCTGGTGGGAACTGGTTCTGCTGTACTGTCCACAAACTGGGGGAGATCTCTATGCAGACACTACTATCACTGGACAAATCCTTCTCAACACAGAGGAATACAAAGGTGGTGCTCCCTGTGGACTGAAGACCCCAAAGACACATCTTAGCTGAGCAGCAAGAGCACATCTTAGTTGGAAGGTCACCAGCAAGGACTAACCCCACCTTGAAACCTCATTCCCCTTTCAAGAAAGGGTTAAATATCAGGATTTGCACTGGTGTGGCAATATCACTGCTGCAAACAAATTCCATTACATGATTGATCTGTTGCATAAGCACCCATGCAGGGCCAGATCCTGCTGCCACTAAGCTGCTGCTGCTGAAATCAGAGCAGTGTTTTTCAGCACAGCCCAAACAGCTGCGCAGCCACCAGGGAGTCGATGCCTGTGCACATGTCCTCTGCTCCCTGCTCCTCTCCCTGCCGGAGCCTGTCCTGACCAGCAGCAGCAGGAGTGAGTGCTGCAGGAGCAGCCTGTGCTGGCTGGAGAGCCACCCGCAAAATCCAAGGGCTGAAGTTCACACTGAAATATTTACAACCCCCTATGCTTTTGAATTATCCAAGGCAGTGGCAAAAGCAATCACAAGTCAAGTTTTTCCCCTTTTGCAACACAACTGAGCAATCAAATTGATTGCACCTTTCAAGCTGATATAAACCACCTTCCTGAGCCTTAGCTCCTTTGTATCCACTTTTGCCAAGTAGCTTTTTCTTTTCCCCCCAGTTGATATATAAAGCTTTGAAAATAAGTTTGAGGGGAGACTGACAACCTTGAAACCTCAAGAGCAGCATGGCATTGACGGGTGCTGCTCCCTGAGCTGAGTATTATGGATAGATTTTAATTTCATTTTAACAAAATAGCTGTCTCCAGTGGAAGAAGCATCAAGAGCTAAATGAGGACCCGTCTTGAGCTGAATCACGTTGAACAGACCTCGGCACTGTCATTGATTTTCTGGGAAGAAAAAAAGTGCCTCTGGCTACTAAACCAAATTAGTAGTCACTGATGACCAATTATTTTGCCCCACTGTGAACGGAGAGGCGTACTAAAATTCCAGTTTGTCAGACCCAAGGCTCTCTTCTCAAACACCTTTCAACAAGCGTGTACCAAAAATCCCTCAGATGGTTCTGACGCCTTCCTGTTTTCGGCAACTTCTCCTTCTCCAAAGTTTTAATGAGCTGCTGCTCTGAGGATGGCCTGCCACAAAGTGAGCCTTTCCCAGTGAAGTGGAGCACTTTTTGGCATGGCACAAATCACAGCTGTCAGAATTTATACACACATACACAAAAAAAGTGTCAGCCTAATGTTTGCAAATTATAATTACCATTTCTCTTGCATGTCCCTGGTGCCTTCATTTTAGATAAATCCCAGCTCTGAGGTATCAGCTGCAAAGCACTGAAGGCTCAATAGTGAATAGAATAGATTTAACTAGTTTGTAGCTCATTTAAGGCCTACACTGTTTTATTTTAATATTGTTAATACTTTATTATACTTTTAAACATTGTTTTCACAGTAAAATAGCCTATTAGGAGGCTGCAGCTCCCTTTCCAGGAGATTTCTGGCAGACTAGCATTCCACACTGTGTAACCAAGTTAGCAGGTGCTTGTCATTTCAGTTGAAAATAGGTCTGTACCCTGACTCTTGAAAGTAAATTAGAGAGATTCTATTAAAGAGACAGGAACTGTTTCAGGGATAATAGTTTTGAAAATGTGCACAGATAAATTTTAAAATATTTAGGAAATGTCAACATTAGAAGTGGCTCCAACTATTTGACTATAAAAGGAAGCAGCTGGGTATTTTT